TCCGCCCCCCCCCCCCCCCCTCACAGTTCCCCCCTCCCCTACTGTTCCAAGAGTAGGGAAAAAACATTCTGGAAAATAGGTAAATATTAATGTCATGATTGTATTTGAAAGACACGTTCGCTTTTTTAATCTGACATCTGTCGACACCGTTTTATGTGTGCGTGTGTATTTTTTCATTGTTGTCATGATATACTTTGTTCTTGCTTCTCTTAAAGAAAGTATAATTTCATTCCACAGTTACCTTCTTGTTTTTGTACAAATTCTTTTAATATGCTCTATGCTAAAATAAAGTATGATAAGTCATCGTTTGCCTGTGAAATCAGTTAAAATATCAAAAATTCGTGGTCGCTTGAGTCATTCTTCTCAGAAGAACTGGCTGTGTTATGCCAATAAACGGAGCCTTGATTTGCGTAAAAAGTAAATTTTATTTCTATTAAGCTATGTCGCTCTTTTGCAGTGATTGTGCCGAATCAGATTCGCATTGGAGAGCATGCTGACTATGTGACCTTGACCCTCTTGTTTCAAGATGACCAAGGCGGGCTGGAGGTCGGTGAGCTATCATCAGCCCATATAATCCTTGAAATTTTGTTCATCAGAAAGAAGAATATTTATCATGCACAAATCAAAGAAAAAGTTAAAATAAAGAAAAGAAGTCAATTTAAAATAAAGAAAATATTTCTATTCGCCAATAAGTACCATTAATAACAACATAAGTTGTGTCATCACTGGTTCTATAAAGTGTTTGTCGAATACTTCATGTAGATAGATGCCACATGTATGACACAGTGGTGGAAATGGTTTAGTTTCATTTTGCTTATTATACTTTTTTGAGAGGGAGAATGGGGATAACGAGACGGCAATACCTTTGATAAGTCCAGGGTATATACCGTGCATTGTATACATGTATATAGGCCGTACTTTAGTACTGCTAGTATACGTTTATAGTTGTTTTGACAGGTACAGAGAAAGGACGGGTCTTGGTGCCCCGTGTTGCCAGTGCCTGGAACCATCGGATTGTTTGTTGATCTGTTGTTACAAAGATGGACGGCTGATAAACTGAAAGCTACAGTAGGCACAGTTCTCTTCTCTTCGCTCTTTCTCTCTCTCTCTCCAGTAGACTTATCTCTCACAGATACACACATACGCACGCACTCACGCACACATATACACGCAAACACAATGTATGCATGATAGTAGCCCATAAACAATGCCAGCAAACATGTGCGGTAACCTTGAATTCATACTGAAGTCCCAATTTTCATATCGGTGGACTCCTGCTGGTTTTTTTTTTTTTTTTTTTTTTTTTTAATGAAATGGACCAATTACTTGTAGAATTTGATACAAAATAAACTCCTGTGTGAACCCACTGTCACGTATGAGAGGGACCCCTGTAATACAGAGTCCAGTGACCCTTGATTCGTATGCTTTTTGGCCATAGGGTGCGCTAGTAGTCCGTTACAAAAGAGTTGAAAGCCCAATGTGCGATTTTGTACAATACTATACTGGGCCCCTGATATCAGAAGATAGATTTGTACAGGTGAGATCCTCCCATGATTTTTGCCTCACTAACGTCAAGCTCCTTCTAACCTGTATGAATCAAATGGAAGGCTGACTGTCTGTTACACGGACCCTCTGCTCCTAACCACCAGACTCTGCTCCTACACTGGCCATGTTTTTCTTTCTTTTCTCTGTCAGGTGCACAGGGTGATTGTACCAGAAGGCAAGTGTCCAGCCCGCCAGTCCATTGCCCACTTCATCGTCCCTGATGACGATGTGGAAGTGAAATGCTTGGACGGATCCGACACGTACGAACCCGTCAACACGAGATCTTTCGTTACTGGGATATTTGACAAGACATATTAACTTTACAGAGGACTGATCATCTGAAGCCTTATATAGGTTTATATATTTGGGCAGGTGTTGGTACTACTTACGCAAGAACATCCGGCTACAGTATATGCTTTAACTTCAACATCGAAAATATGGCTTAAGGACGGACAAAACTTAAGTTGGTTAACGATCGAGGTGGCCCTTATTTTGAGGTCATTCAGATTTTTTGGTACCTATATTTTCAAATATTTTCAAATGGAAATACATTGGCATTGGATTGTTAAACTGAAGATTTTTTAAAAAGGTAAAATATAATAATTATACTTATTTAGATACCTTTAACCCATAACTCGTTACTTTTTTTTTAGTAACGCGCAAAACGCGTTGTGTAAGTATTGGTGATTTCTATTCAACAGAGCTTTACAGAAAACGGCCAGAAATATATTCATAGATTAATTTTGTCAGCGTATATTCGTTGTCACACATCCTTCGCTTGTGTGTCGTTATTTCTGATCCCCTTACTCCACGATATCTCGTTTAAATTTAAAGCTACTCACCGGGCTATCCCAGAAGATTCGCTTACGTACATAAACATCCTACATGCATGTCATTCATAGGCAGTAACAGACACGTCCTTTACATATACGTGATGAACTGTTTCACGCGATATAAATATTGAGACTAATTAACTCGAAATAGAATTCCATTCGTTCTAGCAGAGCAAGTGTTAAAATGGAAGCACAGATTTTTTTTCTGCTGGAGAGGGACACGGTATATTGCATCGGTTGTGCTTTTTGTAAGGATTGCGAATAATGGTACGATAGAAGGCCATCTGACCAGTTGCGGTAAAACGAAAGGCCGCTACACTACGTTTGTATCTCCCATAGTCCGTTTACCAGGCTTAGTTCGATCCCCTGATATCACCATCAAAAAACATGATCACACTTTACAATTTATGCGTTAGGGCGGTTGCACAACAGAGCTTTACCCCGAAAAATGATGGAAACTTTTTTGACTATTTTGTAGCCTTTTGAGTGTTCTTTTCTTTTAATGTTAACATTATACTATGCCCCTGTTGGTGTTGAGACACCATTCCTGGCAGACACACACATGTTTTCACGGCTTCCACGCTTTGGATTAAAAAAAATACAAACGAAGTTTCTTTCAAAAATCCAATAACCTTTTAAACTGTTGTGTAGTTCTTATATATTAATAAAAATGATAATTCAATATCCTTGGCGGAGGCCCGCCCTTCCTGAGTGCTTTTTCCAGTTAACAGTATGACATACTGATGATATAGTTATGCGAAACATCAGGTCTTATGTAACAAAACATTAAACTTCCATTAAAATAAAATTTATTTTCAAAATATTCTGTAAAAAGTTTCGTAATTTATAATACTACAGTTTGAGTAGAACGTGTTTGTTTAAATGTATAACTAATTTTATAAAATAAGTGATCAATAAAATGTACATTGCTAGAATATTTTATTCTTGACGTATCGCGTACGGTTTTGTGTTAGGTAAAGTGAGCCACTCAAGAGCAGCTCACTGAAACCTGAAGGGAAGCTGCTGAAGAAAAGAGTCTGCGCTCATTGTCTGCCTTTAATCAAGCGATAGATATACGCTAGCTTCCTGAGTATTTTGTCCCTTCCATTTTAATGAAGGATTTTCTTGAGCAGCGTCGACCAGTTGCTCATCATTTAGTTTATAGACAAACTTCTGTCTTTCTCTCTGAAAAGCGGCGGAATTGAAACACTGCTCCATTGCGTGCAACTCGCGCTGACGATGCAGGGACAGGCGATCAAACCAGTCTGAGTTCCGCGTTTTGAACTTCTCTTGTACGGTCTTATTCCAGCTGGTGGCACTGGCTAAATTCTCCACAAAGCCTGGGAGCATTTCTTGGAACTCGTGTTTGTTCCTGTGAACGAAAATATATAAGAATCCGAATTGTAAGTAAGCATGAAACTGTCGTAGTAGAAGAAAGTTCACGGTATCTTATAAGACGAATTATATACATATATAACACCAAGTTAGATTTCGTTACTTATACAGTATATATATATATATATTTCTTGACCTGCCTTATCGCTAACAGTCATTTCATAGCAAGCTGACGCGAGACCACCACACCCGCAGATTTATACAATGTCATATCGCCATCAATATCATTATTATCATTATCACTTTTATTATCACTGAATATACCTCTGATGAGTGGCTATCGACAACTACCACGCTACAGATCATTTTATGTAACTTGCCATATTGAACGCACTTTAAACACCATAATAAAATACTTAAAGTAGGGTATATCTCATTCTGAAAAATTCACTAAACAATCATGCTTATAACAGACTTAGTATTCTAATACTAAAAAACCAATATACGAACACGATCAGCCTCCTTACCTGCCAAGAACGTGATCTACCAGGCCGAGAGATCTTGCCTCCTCCGCGAGGAGAGGGTCTGGCCGGGCATACATCAGCTCGTACGCCGTGTCCCTGCCGACTCTTCTCGGTAGAAAGTGAGTCCAGTATTCCGAGCCACACAACCCCATGGAGCGATAAGCAGGAGAAAGTAAAACTCCCTAAAATTTGAAATAAACCACAAATTTGTCATTTGCATACAGATGCGTCATGATATTTCACAAAGAATTATTCTAGTTTCCAACAGCCCTCTACCCCACCCACCCCATTTCCCTTCTCCTCCCCCACCCCATCGCCATGCCCTTGAAAAGTTATATGGATGATTTTGTTTTTGAGTTATTTTGTGAAACTGGTATGACAGGAATGGTTATCCGCTTGGCACCATCGTTCGTTTCCCTTTGCGTTGTAAAGTGACATTCTTCACTTCTGTTGACCGCGTTACTTCCCGCTACCACTCTCTTGCACCAATCAAATGGGACCCAAACTTCCATTCCTAAGACTACCATTCCTGCCACGCCGGTGTAACAAAACAGAAAGTCCGCCCTCCATTTTGTTATAATGGTTAGGGTTAGCCTGACCTAAGTGGGTCAAAATCTAGGGCGAGGCTTAACTGTACAAATAAATGGAAAGTGGATTCTTTATCATGGGGGACTCTCTGTCACCGGCCTCGGTTAAGTCACTTCAGTTTTCTCCCGGACATAATCGCTTACCTGAGCTGACACCACCACGTCAGCTGCTGCGGCCATCATGGCGCCCCCAGCTCCGGCATTTCCTTCTAGCGCTGCCACCACCAACTTGTCTCTCATCTGGCTCATGGCCAATATGACGTCATTTATCTTATTTATGTTGTTGTTTGCTTCTTTGGCTGGATCGCCACTGGCCTCGATCTGACACAGGTGGATACCTGGTGAGATAGAATGTTAGTGAGAAAATCTTTCTGTGGGCTATTGATAGTTATTTTCCCATTTCTTTTATTTCAATTTCATTTTATTATTTTTTATTATTTTCTGTTTGATTTTCTTATTCATTAAATCATTCGTTAATTCACTTTGATTAATGTACCGTTTTTTTATAATTATTATGTATTGTTCATGTATTTATAAACTAATTGTAATCTTTTTTTAATTGTCTGCCTTTGGATGGCTATACTGTGATCTTTGTCTATATCTGTGACTTAACTCTCGGATTACATTGGATATCACGATAAAAGGTATTCAAATCACGAAAGTCATCACAGCCAGTTAAATCTCCCTCCTTCCGGACCCAGTCCAAAATGACATGTGGGGTCGTTGGTCTTATTTAATATAACGTAGCATCACACCGTACACCTTGGCACGGTACACCTTGGGACTGTACACCTTGGGACCGTACACCTTGGCACGGTACACCTTGGGACCGTTCAAAATGACCTACGTCGACGTAGTTAATGCGCACTCCACGGGAACTTTCTCTTAATGCTATCGGATTCATAGACTTACACGTCCTGGGCCCCGTAACTCGAAAGCATCGCGCATTGCGACCGATCGCAAGCGTCTCGATTCCATGACTCTCCCATACTCGCTCCATATAATACATTGTAGCCTCTATGTAATATCGCTATTTGCAACAGGCGATGCTTTCGAGTTACGGGGCCCTGGTGTAATCACCGCGCAGCTTCTCCGTACATATACTCTCCCCAACGGCAGGAAAAGGCGTGTTAGTCTGTTAATCTGATTGCATTCAGCGAGAGTCCTCCTGTAGTTACTGCGCATTAGGTAGGTTGACAATTCACTCTCAAAAGTTCCCTTTGATTTGCGGGAAAACAACAACTTACCGGTTGAAAAGAATCGCGAGCCGCCCATGAGGACTACAACCTTGACGTGGCTCATCTTGGCAACTTGCTTCAAGACCATTGCCAGCTCTGCCCCCTGGCGACTGTCCATGGCACCGTTGTAGAAATCAAAGTGGACATAGCACACTGGACCCTGTTGTTTTAACCAAATCTCGCTGTGGCTGGAGACATTGGTCAAATCTGGTAAACTGGCCACAGTACTGGCAGGCAAAACTGAGGTAGCAGGTAACTTGATGGACAACCGCTTGTTCCTCTAATAAAGAAAAGAAACTTTATGCAGGTCACATCAAGAAGGTCGAACTACTTGGTCACAT